GAGGGGCTAGTGCTCTGTGCACTGGGTGCAGCTCTGACTGCCACCCCCGACCCAGAAATGGATTAAGGGGAAGAAAATGGATGGATGGAGGTTCCTGGGTGGCACACTGTAGCCAACATTGCTCCTGACAGTGGCCATAGTGGTATGGCAGTATGGGTCAAAAGCAGAGAACACATTTCCCCACAAAGACAGCTAAGTATGCTGCTATAATCTATAGGCTGAGACTGCACCAGGATTATATCAGACTGTATGTATTAAACCAGGAATTTGAAAAACCTATTCTCCAGCACATTTTATAAGCAGAAAGAGGCCATAAACAGGAGTGAAAGTCTTGGACGCCTCAGTTCAACAGCTCTCCACAGTACGGTCACACTCGCCGCTTTATAGACGCTGTAATTATTTGTCTTATCTTGTGGTATGTGGAGCTCTCTCTGTAATTAAAGGTCTATGTTAGGAAGAACGCACTAATGCGACTGTTCAACCGGAAAACTGACGAAACACGGACAACTTTAAACTTTGTGAGTCTTACAGCTGTGAAGTAATGTTCATCAGCTACAGTATTGCGAACATTTGTGCAAATGACGTTTATGAAGGAACATACAGCTTTAGAACTCCGTAAGTGGACAGCACTATAGAAGTTCTAAATCTGTATGTTAGTGCAGCAAAATCCCCAAGAATTTTTATTTATTTACTAAGCAATTGCAACTGAAAATAAAGGATTTTTACTTTAAAGTCAGTTGTGCCCCGTGCCTTCATTATCCATCCATCCATTTTCTTCCACTTCATCCGTTGCCTTCATTATAATGATAATAACAGATCTCTATTTGTGTAGCACTTCTCAAAAACAATGTTTACAAAGTGCTTTACAGTCAGCATAATAAACAATAAAACATTCATAAGAATACAAAGTCAAAATAATGAGATAGAATAGAAGATACCGGAAGACAAATCAAACAGAGGAAACACAAGAAGAAAGACACAACAAAAACAAGGCAGGCAGTAAAATATGACATGAGAAGTAAGTGGGTTTTAAGAAGTGATTTAAAAGAGGATACTTTTAGGGGTAGGTCGTTCCAAAGCCGAGGAGCCCGGATAGACAAGGCTCGGTCACCTTTACGCTGTCTTTATTCAGAGAATTTGGACCCTACACATATTCAGAAAGAATGGGCCCAGTGAGTCACTACTGGATGCTTTAATTCAAAAAGCGAGGGTGGATATTATCACTTTTCTGTTTTCTGTGGAAAAACTGTCATGACTGTTTTGAGACCGACAATTACATGGATTTTATTGTAATGTATAATTCTCAGATTCCCAGACTATTAAAAACATGATTTGATTCTTTTCCAATTCTCTTATCAATATGTTTTTGTAGTCCCTAGAGTCAAAAAATAAGTCGGTAAACATTATTTTAAATTCAAAGCATCCTCTGCCTGGAACAGCATACTGTTGTCCATCCACTCTCTCACTTCTCTGCCTCGGTTTAAAAATACTCTCGTACGATACCTGTTTTTGAGCTTACGTTATGGACCTAAATATATCTCTTTATCATCTCCAATGATATTTATTAATACTATTTCCCGTAGTTTATAATAGTGTGGCCTTGGTCCTCGTTCTGTTGCTTAGGTCCTGGATGTATAGCCTATCCTTCTGTGTGGAGTGGATCCCTCTCTCAATGTGGATCTCCCCGAGGTTTTTCATCTTTTCCTACAGGGTTTTAGAGTTCTTCCTTGCCGATGCCTTTGTTGGATCCTTGTCTAGGTCTGACTAAAAGGACAATTGTGATGATCCAGGACACTCAACATTCAACAATATTCCTAGACTTTTATCAACATTTATTGGTCAACTGCAGGGTTGGGAGTAAAACAAGGACCATGAAAAGCAGAAACAGAGAGATTAAATCAATGGGCTCAGAACTTGTCAGATCGTCTCCAAAACCAACAGGCTCTTCAAAGTTTCTGATCCACTATTAATAACTGCCTTCATCATCATCATCATCATCATTATCATCATTCACCCATTCATTTTATTTCTCTGATCTGTGTTGGCGAATTCAACGAATTCAACGAATCCGAGATAACTACGACTGTGATTCAGGGCTGTACAAATCACAGTCGTGTTTGGGCTACACAAGGATAAACTGAATTAAATTGAACCGTGTGTGTGTGTGTGTGTGTGTGTGTGTGTGTGTGTGTGTGTGTGTGTGTGTGTGTGTGTGTGTGTGTGTGTGTGTGTGTGTGTGTGTGTGTGTGTGTGTGTGTGTGTGTGTGTGTGTGTGTGTGTGTGTGTGTGTGTGTGTGTGCGTGTGGGTGTGTTTGGTGTATTTTGGTGCGATGTTGAGGACCCCTCGAAAACGAAAGATGTTCAATTGGGGCTAATCCTCCCAGTAAATAGAAAAATAAAAATAGATTAATCAATTTTGTGAAGTTGCACTTGAACATTATGAATGAATGAATGAAGCCTTTATTACAGACCAAACATACAAGTTAGTTCAAAGTTCATATATTTCTGAAATTCCACTTAAAGGAGCAATATGTAATATTTGCATGTCAAGTCATCATTAAATGACCCGAATATTTCAAAAGGCGTTATTAAATCATACTCTTTTCGAATTCATCTTTAACTGATAACAGTAGTTCAGCCGAGATATTTGATCATCAAAATTAGTTTTACGACCCGTAAAAGTTGTTATTGTTTTGATTTTGATGTCCTACCCTCCGCCGTTTCGCCAATCAGGAAGTGTCATGTAAGTCAGTGATCGAGTTGCCAGAACTCCGCGCGGCTCATTAATCTCAGAGGTAAAATAACATGTGGCGTAGAACTAAAAAAGGTCTTGTTATGACTCTCAAATAATTAATGACAAAACAAAGACTAAAACGAGGATCTATATCGGGATGCCTTTGAACAATTGAGACAGCTGATAAAAGTTTACGTGTGATGCAGAATTTTCTAGTTTGATTCCGTTCTTCACGGTGTCTTTGTTCGTGTGAACCGGTGGCCTAGCGGTATAAACTGTGCGCTTACGATGCAGGAACCCGGGTTCAATCCCGGGTTATGTCTTTTTGTATTTATTGCATGTGATCACATTCTATGACAGATTGCTCTAAAAACGGTAAAAGATGAAGGTCAAGACGTTTTTTTGCAGATTATAGCTTAATTGTAAAAATAATCATTTAAGACCACATGTACCCCAATTAAAATAATGTTAGTCTCTTTTTGATGTGGGACTTTTACATGTTTGTCTAAAAAATAGGGAATAAATAAAATTGAAAGGTGATATCCTCTTGAGCAAACCCTGATGTTGATACGCTGAAGAAATACGTTCCAACATCCATTCTTCCCACTCCTATTTTGGACATCAATTTCTTATTTATTTTGCATAAACTATGTATAATTACATTGCTTTTATTTTGTTTTTGTTTTTTATCTCAAATGTCCAAATTATAATAATAAAAAAACATGAATCAAAACATTCATTCAGCATTAGCACGGCTGTCATGGCAATGTGAATGAAGACGGACAAACAACTGATAAAATAATTCCCTGTGTTTGCTGCTGGATTTGGTGTGAATCTGGCAACCTGAGTCAGGGAGAGTGGGAGAGGACTACAAAATATTGACTGTGACTGCAGTACCACTTTTGGCCAGATTTTTACATATTGCTCCTTTAAATATATGCAAAGTGACACGTACCAAGCCTTTGTTATCATTTTGGTGATTATTACTTTCAGTCCATCTTCCAAAAAAATTTTTGTTTTGGACTTTTATAGAGCAATATTCTAATCTTCTGAGTTTCACCTGTATATAGACGATGAGCATGTTGAAAAGCAGCTGAGCAGATGCCAGTTCTTCCTCACTCTGACATTAAGTAAAGGCCAATGACACTTGACATTTACTGTGGTTCATAAACTTCACATGATTCTTTCCGGGCCAATCTCACTCAACAGCTGTTTGTTCAAGAATAACACTAATTTCCCATGCAAGAGAGCTCTTTTTTTTCTTTCCTTTTTTTACAGAAGATGAGGTTGTTTTCATCATTTGAAATCAGAGCCATTAACAAACCAGCCCAATAAGGCCATCCCGTATAAATCACCATTTCTGAATTGACAGAAGTCCAACAAATTACTGTTTGGGGAATTCACTCACTGCAAATCAAAATGCACTTGCACAAACAGATGTATTACCAATCAAACATGAATCACATGTTTTTACTTCCAAAGAAAGCTATTAGAACAGTAAGTAATGCAAACACTTATGGTCATGTTAATGCTTTATTTGTAAAATCTCAAGTGTTGAATCGACCTGTTGTTGTAGTCCTCAACACAGCGGTTTTGATGTTATAAAGCACAGCAGTGTGTCCAGCAGAGGTTCAAACCCAGGGAATCTCCAGATGACCTCAGAACTTCATCTGCCTTTAGAATGCAAATGTGGGAACTATAGTTTAAAAAAATGGATGGGTTTCTGTAAAGGGGGGGAACAAATTTGAAAAGGTCTGAATGATGCTCTAAATCAGGGATGTCAGAGTCAAAAACTGTACATCAAAGGGCCACATAAACAAATTTGCTTCCAGCCGAGGGCCGTACTGGTTCGATGTTAATGTTAATAGAAACATCACATATAACATTTTGAACCAAGACCTAATACAGTGTACCACATTTCATTTAATTGTTAATTGAAGAATCCAATATTTTTGTATGGCTCTGTCAGTAATTTCAAGTGAAATATTTTCCAACCGGCTCACAGACAACAACAAACGTCCTTCAAAGAGAAAACACATGTCCTGAACATTAAGATAATAATCCAGTGTGTTCTTATGGCTGTGTGTGGGCTAGTTCTATACTAACCAAATGTCATCCCGGGGCAAAGATAACTCATTATTGACTTTGACACCCATGCTCTATGTTCCAGTAGGATTCATACTCCTTGGTTTTAATCCAAAAAGACCAATACAATAGAATATTGCGCTAGAATACAACAAAAGCTTGGCACTCGTCTAGCCTGATAATGTCAGTGCACAGTAATCTCAAAGTGTTTCACAGAGTTGACAAGTCCAGACTAGAGGTAAGAGTAAAACTGGACCCTGAAGCCAGATAAAGTTGGGGAGAATATGCCTGCACCAGGTCCCTATACACTTTTATTAATGTTTTTTTAAAAGCTTAAGAATGGCACCTTCTTTTCATTGTCTTAATTTTTTTTTTTTTTTACAATACAGTGATCTTGATAATAAATAAAAAAATGAAATATCTAAAATAATTTTAAAGAATCAATATTACTCCAGCTACCAATTTTCTTTCATCTCTGTCCTGTCCAGACCTCAGTATCGATAGGATTTTATAGATTTTCACTGTTTTTTCTCAGGCACATTTTCTTTACACATTTTTGTTGTTGTTATCAGATCAAGAGGCGCAACAGAAGCTCCAGAGCTCAGCACGTATCAAAGAGGAATTTTATGTCTTCATACTATCGCTATATAAACTGAGGAGGGCGCAGGGGCCAGACAGAAACGTCCATAGGTTTGACCACCACCGCACTAGCTCCGGTTTTGTAGACAAACTATTAGTAAAATACATATGTAGGAAAGTCTGCTGCATCCTGGTGTTAACGGGACAGCTGTAAGGAGTTTGGCCAAACATAAAAACTACAGAATGCCGGTCCGAAAAAAACACCAAAACCGCTGAAAGTGAATTGGGAGCATGCAGAGTAAAAATAGCGCATGCATCTGCTCCAGCGCTGCAGGCTTGGAAGGCCCTCACACCAAAGCTCCTTCAAATGAGATCTTGTTTACCACTAAATTGGCCACATCGAATGTGAGGCAAGGACACAGCAGCATTTTGCACAGAGTAAAGACATGTTTGTAATCTTTTAGTAGGATTATATGTGATTTTTTTAACTGGAGCGCTGTCTGGGTTTTTTTAATTTTTATTGTCATGTGTGATTTTATGACATCTTTGCAGTGTAAATGCATAGAACCAGGGAAACACTTGCAAGGTCAAGCTAAGGACTACAAATACACAAACTAATGTAATTATACAGTATGTATCAAAGAGCCACCAAGAATCTCATGTCATCAACATTTGTCTGATCATTAACTTGATGGGAAGTTACTGTACCCACAGATTGAACATCCAACTTTTGCTTGCTTTATTCATAACAAATATTTATTTGTGTGGTAGTTTCCCACTAAACATCCGACGTCCACTCAACCTCCAGATCACGTCAATATCGCGTCGGTCGGTCGTGACCTTTTATTTACGTCCAAACGACGTCTGTGCAAGGTGCGCATCTGGACGTAAAACAATGACCTCCCATATACGTGGATATGACGTTCAATCCCGACCTCCCTTAGACGTCGAAAACAGGTCATCGGCCGACCGACGCAGTACGTCTTGATCTAGCAATACAATATATAGGCTGTGAAGCAATCTCAGTGTACCTGACGGTAGTGTAGTGGTTAAGCAAATGTGTGCAGCCTTGGTTACGTGAGTTCGAGCCCACGTGTGTGTATTATTATCTTTACATATTTGTTTTGATTTTTAACGAACAATTTTTTTCTGTTTGGTTAAAGACTAATAAACACTCAACATAGGATTACGTAGTGGCTAATAATAAAACTTGTGAATGTATGCATTTGTTGTGCTAACAATCTCAAGTTTGCAAATAAGGGGTGAGCACTTGAGATTGTATGCAAATGCATGGGTTCACAAGTTTTATTATTAGCCACTACATAATCTTATGTTGAGTGTTTATTCGTTTTTAACCAAACAGAAAAATTGTTCGCTAAAAAGTAAAAAGTCAAAAGTTTTCCGACGGGGATTTGAACCTGCGTCGTTGGGACTGAAGTCTCATTACGCAACCGCTACACCACCGCCAGGCATTTATCCAGACTACTGTGACAAAATAATACATAACACCCTAAACAACCGACGCACACTTATGCGCCGCGCGAGTATAACTTATAACTTTACAGCCTGACACGTGAGTCGCTCGGTCGAGGACCTGTTTTCCACGTCTAAACGACGTAAGGTGTGAATCTGGACGTAAAGTAATGCCTTCCCAGACGTTGATATGACGTTGAATCTGTACCTCTGTCGCTGCCCTGCTTTATTTAGCTACTTGGAATCACCCTCTCTAGTAAGTACACAGTCTGCACAGTTTTTAGATATAGATGTATCATTTCCACATTGAAAAGAGTTGGAGACAGAAAGTAAGTTGTTTTCTCACGTATACGTGGATTTTGTTAAGTATATTTTGTATATTATCTGTATTTTGAATTGCCAGTGCATGAATCTATTGAGAGTGAGGAGCTGACGTCATAGCACAGAGCCCCTCCCCGTCTCCGCCATGTTGGTAGGATCCCAGCGGCAAACACTTGTTGTTAACTCGGTAGCAAAGGAGGTCGTCGCTATTTCTGTTTTACCATGCCTGGAGCTCATTGCTGTGTGAAAAACTGCTCCAGTACCTCACACAATAAGAAAGGAAAACGTAGGAACAACGGTTTACAATTGTTTAGGCTACCAAAATGGATACAACATCAGGGAGCGCAGGTGTCTGACCTGACGAAGAGACGCCGGATGGCTTGGTTGGCTGCAATAAGAAGAAAGGACCTTACTTTCGATCTCTCCCCCAGTCGATGAGAGTGTGTTCTCTGCATTTTCACTCGGGTACGTCCTAAAATGTCTTTATGTTGTTTTTTTAAAGTTAAGAAGTGTAGGGTACCTAGCTGTTAATGTTGCAAACACTGAAGTGCATCTTAAGTTAGCTGCCTAGCTAACTATCTAACAAACTGTTGCCTCTATGAAAATGCTTAATGGCCAACCATTAATGTTAACTAAGAATATTTAAGTTTCTGCTCATTATCCTACCTTGTTGGTGGAATATGGGCACTCAAAGTGTGTTTGTCTCTGTCTCTTATGTTCTCTAAACCAGTGGTGCCCAAACTTTTTTTTTGTCTTGTGTTTCCACTACCCCCTGAGCCCTTTTATGAAACCATGAATAGCGTTACCTTCTTGTTTAATATTTCTTTAGATTCCAGATTGTTTAATAATCTTATTAATCTGATGTAAGTAAACCATTATATGATTGCTAAAAATAGTTGAGATTCTGTTCATGACATTATGCTACCTTGTTGCCAGTTTAAAGCATTGACTACATACATTATTCTGTTCTAGGTAAACCATCATATGAGATGTTGGAGAATCACCCTGACTGGACACCATCCTTGCGGTTAGGCCACAATAATGTTAAAGAAACAGATGGAGCGCGATATCAGCGGCAAGTAAAGCGCAGGACCCAGCATCTGGAGCAGTCATCACTCCCAGCCCAAGCCCAGCAGCCTCCATCGCCAGCCCAAGCCCAGCAGCCTCCATCGCCAGCCCAAGCCCAGCAGCCTCCATCGCCAGCCCAAGCCCAGCAGCCTCCATCGCCAGCCCAAGCCCAGCAGCCTCCATCGCCAGCCCAAGCCCAGCAGCCCCCATCGCCGGCCCAGCAGCTGCCTCAAGGAAGGATGAGGAAGCTCTCACCCTTCCAGCTTGTCCTATTGACTGTAATGCGCCTCAGATTAGACCTTCCATCTCAGAATTCACGTTGAGAGGGTGATTGGTGTTGTGCGCAACAAATTCAAATTCTTACATTCAACTGTACCTGTGCATATGCTTCTCAAATGTGAGGGTGAAAACCTAATGCCTTTAGATAAGATTGTCACTGTTTGCTGTGCCTTAACGAACATGTGCAAAAGTGTTGTTTGAGTGCCTTGTTCATAACTTATGAACCAACCAGAACCCCTCATGTCATCTGGATCCGAGTCCAGAGTCAGAACCAGACACGGAGAAGCTGCATTCAGCTTCTATGCTCCACATGTCTGGAACAAACTCCCAGAAAGCCTCAGATCAGCTGAAACACTCAGTTTGTTTACATCCAGGTTAAAGACCCACCTGTTCTCAGCTGCTTTTGAATATTTTTTATTCTAATGTACAAATCTGCACGGCTTCTTTTAATCTGGAATTACTTATCTGTTATCTTTTTCCTATGATTTTTTGTTTTTAAGTAAAAGTTTAAAATATGATATTGTTTTTCATATTTCAAACTATTTTTAACACATTAGAATTCTTAGGTTAGACTGTCCAACAAACTATGTGTTAAAAAAGGTTAAGATTCTTGAGTTTTAAAATAATAATTCAATTCTAAAATGTAAAGTTACTGTATATTTCACAATGGTTTATAAACTGCAAAAAGACAACAGTACTTAGTAAACTAAGTTTAAAAACAGGGAGATCAGCTTTAATATTTGGGACACTCCCATCATTTAGACACCTGTGATGTCATCAGTTGGAGTTGAGTTCAGGTGTGGGACCATGTGGGACCATAGGAGCACACAGATGTTACCTGCTGCAGAAAGAGAGTTTAATGTTCATGTATTGCTTTGTTTAATAAATGGATTTAATGTCTTCCCAGGTCTTCAATGTCAGAGACTTTCACTTCTTCTCACTGTGGCTGTTCAAATGAGCCACTACAGTCGTTATTTTTGTTATTGTTAGCTGCAAATATTAAATATCCATTCATCTGCTGGTAGCAAGCTAACTAGCGCTTGCAACTCTATTCAATTTCTTACTTTTTCTTATAAACATTAAAACCAGCCATATGATAATTAAAATACATTTACCTTTGCTAATGCAGTCAATTTTTTGTGAAATCCATAGAGTATAATTTCATGATTGTTGCAATAACTAATGTTCTATGTGTATTCCTAATGTGTCATGTGTGTTTGAGTCTTACAGGTGTCAGACTGTGTTGAAGGTAAGTAAGTAAGTAAGTAAGCTTTATTTATATACCGCCTTTCACAGACCAGAGTCACAAAGCAGTTTACAATTGTTATTTTTTGAGCACTTGTCCTCTCACTCCACACAGAGATGGGAGCGGGGTCGCCGAACAGGAGGCGCATGCCATACCTATTGTACATATTTTTAGTGGCAGGGGAAACCGGAGTACCCGGAGGAAACCTACGCAGACACGGGGAGAACATGCAAACTCCACTCAGAAAGGCCCTGGTCCGGCCGGGATTCGAACCCAGGACCTTCTTGCTGAGAGGCGAGAGTGCTATCCACTCAGCCACCGTGCCGCCCTCAGAAGGGCGGCACGGTGGCGGAAGGTGTTCAAAGGTAAGAATCACACTCTCACACATTGATTGTTGTTCTGTATTAATATGTTGTTTTTAGAATAAACCATTATTTGGTGTATTCTCTTTGAAAACATCTATCTTTTTCTCAGATTGTTCTGCAACTCACTCATGATGAGGGAAAAGAGCAACAAGGGGAAAATGCCCGCTCGGAAATGCGACATGTGTAGAGTAATACAGGGTAAGTAGCTTTCAGGGCTCATTTGTGTCCATGTGCAAAACAAATGCACATTTGCAATTGTTTTTTTACATGGAATTACTCCAATGACCAAAGCCTTATCCCAAGTTTCTCAGACGGAGTGTCTTCCAGTGTCTCGAGCTAGTGCAGTGCCAAGGTTTGTATCACATGGTGATGGATCGAGTGGTTTGAGGCATTAATAGAAAGTTATGTGTTGTTATATCACTTTGCCACATTATGTTGAAACTAAACATGTTCCACATTTTCAGGTGCTGTGCTTGGACCTTGTGATGAGAGACTGAAGACCAAGAGAGGACACATGTTGGAACATCAACATTCAATAAATGCATTCTTCTGCCTTTCAGATTGTGTTTTTACATCTGGGGAACCTAGAGTGTAGCTTGTGCCTGTTTTAATACTGATCCAAACATAGGCGCTACAATCATGTTTTTTTACTTTGGCATGAACTGTTCAGTACAGTAGTGTTCATAACACTGTGTCCTGTGTGGATTAACTTGTACTTTGATGTAGAGAAACATGATTTTTAATGCAGCTCCATTTGCAATAATGACTGATATCCTTCTACTACAGTTGTTCTAATGATTTTTGAATGCTGTGTTTATCGTTTATTGCCCAGAGTCAGAACTAAACATGATATAGCTGCATTTCAGATTCACAAGGCTAAAATCTGGAACGGTCTTCCTGGAAATGTGAGACAGGCTTCTTCTTTGACAATGTTAAAGTTAAAGTTAATGTTCTGTTTCTGCTTCAACTGAGAGATTTTTTGAGAGATTTTATTTGTATCTTTTTAATTTACTGTCAATATTTATAATTGTAATGCCTTGTTTGATTGTTTCTATCTTTTGTTCAGTGCTTTGAGTTTCCTTTTGTTTTGACTGTGCTATACAAATAAACTTGCCTTGCCTATTGCAAAAAGTATGTCTCGACTATTAAGTCATTCTACAGAGGTCAATAGGACTGTAAATGGACGTCATATAAACGTCAATATTTTGGTCATATAAGACGTCGAGAGGACGTCGGACCCGACTGGTTCTGTACCACATTACAACCTTGAATGAACGTCCAGATGACGTTGGAATTACGTTGTTTTGACATCTGCTTGCTTAGTGGGAACGACTGAAAACGAACGTCATATAAACGTCAATATTTTGGTCATTTGAGACGTTGATAGGACGTCAGACCCGACCGGTTCCGTACCACATTCAAACCTTGAATTGACGTGCCATCAACGTAACATTTGGAGGTTGAGGTGACGTCGGGAAACGACGTCGAGAAAACTTTCATTCTGCACCCACCAGTGACCTATATTCTACGTCGGACAACGACGTTCAAATTAGTTGATTCAACGTCGGCTTGCTTAGTGGGTTGTGGCATCAAATTATGGAATAGTAATAGTAAGAAAAAAACCTTTATCAAGTCCACATCTTTTTTTCAAAGATCCAAGTGGTAGATATGTGTGGGAGGGATGACTTTTAAACTGAATTTACGCAAATGCAATGTTTTTTCTTCAAAGTTCCTCCTACTCCCTTTTTACTAGTTATTATACTGCTTGTGGATTACAGTCCAAATAGCAGATTGGAGCTGACTGCAAGATCAACCTTACAACAAACAAAGCTTGATAAATCTCACTTGATTTCTCTCTGTGTGTAACAAGTTAGTCATTAATTAGATCCTAATTAATTCACATTTCAAGTTGAATTAGAGAAGTATCTGGACTTCCCTTACAATATTCTAATTTACCAGGTTTCACCTGCATAAAGAAAGTCGATTGGACTGGTTTAAAGATACACCTGCATCCAGAACAGATTTTCAAACTAGTAACAATGTTGTATTCATTGAGACTTCTTGCATTGGTCAACACACCTATTGCACAAGACAGAATGCTTGTGCTGCTTCTCTTCCTCATACTGAATGTTTCGTTGCTGACTCCCCAGTTTTGAAATGACTGTTTTTGACAGCTTCAGCATGGCCCTTGTGAACGCGCGGGTTTGTACATGCATGTGCATGGTTTACAAGTTGTCACACTCAAGGCCTCTGTTTAATGATAAACCTCACAATGTCCTGTCTATTCCAGAGGACAGCCATTACACAAGGGTCTGACCTGAACGAGGGTGACGGCTCCAGCCACACTATGGTGAAGGTGAAACATGCCATAGGTCCTTGTCATAACCTTCCACATGGATCTGTTGTCAGTTTGTCAGTATGTCCATGCATTCACATGAATCACACAGTATATATATATATATATATATATATACTGTATATACATATATATATATAAGTATATATAAGTATATATACATATATAAGTATATATAAGTATATATACATATATATATATATATATATATCCAGTCAAAACTGTTTCAAATTCTGGGTTCCCAACCCTTGGAAAAGTCTGGCCCTACGCAAAGTTTGGACACCCTTGATTGATAGTAATAAAAAGTTAAAGAGAACAAATACATACACATGTACAGTGTCAGTATAAATGGATTTTTCTTTTCACATAATTTCTCCACATTATTATGTAGTAATATGTTCAATAGCATGACAAAATAGGGATACAACATTATCAGAATTATTTTTGTTTCCATTGTAAGTACCAGGAAGTCACAAACTAGTAATTTTCTTTGGCTCAAGAAATATAACTGGTTTGTTATGAGATAAACCATGTGATTCTGATTCCAATTTGTGATTTCTGTTTTGACAATGTTCAAATGTTACATTTTCACGGAAAAATTAAAACACTTACAACATTTACAACAGTTTTTCAAACCCAGTAATTCTTTTGTGATTTTACATATTTTCACAGACAAAACAAACATTTTAATGTTGGGTTTTTTGTCGGGAGCGCGGTGGGGTCATGTTTTTTGACTTCTCCAGTGCTTTCAACACCATCAGGCCGGCACTGCTGCAGGGGAAGATGAAGGACGCCGGAGTGGACAGTAGCCTCACTGCATGGACCATCAACTACCTCTCAGACCGACCACAGTACGTGCGGCTGCGCAGCTGTGAGTCTGAGGTGGTAGTCTGCAGCACTGGGGCCCCTCAGGGCACTGTCCTCTCACCGTTTCTCTTCACCATCTACACTTCAGACCTCACATATGACACACACAGCTGCCACCTGGAGAAGTTCTCCGACGACTCCGCCCTCGTGGGCTGTGTGTCTGAGGGGAACGAACTGGAATATCGGTCGGTTATCACGGACATTGAACTGGTGTGAGTGCAACCACTTGTGCTTGAACACCAGTAAGACCAAGGAGATGATCATTGATCTCAGGATAAAACCACTTTCCCACACGCTGCTGAACATCCAGGGGGAGGACATTGAGCTGGTGGACAGCTTCAAGTACCTGGGTGTTCACATTAACAATAAACTGGACTGGTCCCATAATACAAACGCCCTGCACAAGAAGGGCCAAAGTCGCCTCTTCCTTCTGAGGAGGCTGAGGTCCTTCGGAGTGAGCAGGCCTCTGCTCAGGACTTTTTATTACTCTGTGGTAGCCTCTGCCATACACTATGTTGCTGTGTGCTGGGCCCCGGGCATCACAGAGCGGGACAGGAGTAGACTGAACAAGCTGGTCAGGAGGACCAGCTCCACTCTGGGCTGCTCCCTGGACTCTGTGGAGGAGGTGAGGGACAGGAGGGTGCTAGTCAGTCACCTCCATCATGGACAACACCTCCTGCACAGGACTGTAGAGGAGCTGAGGAGCTCTCTCAGTGGAAGACTGAGACACCCTCAGTGCAAGAAGGAGCTCTACCGCAGGGCCTTTATACCGCTGTCAAACAGTACAATAAGTCACTTTAAGTCACTTGCATTAGGACTGAAAAACCTGCACTACTATTGACACTGTTTCTTTAATTGCCATAATATATACTGCACAGACTATTGCACAACTTTGCACAAATATTGAGTGATTATATCCATGCCAAATGTGACATGTAAATTTATCCTGTGTGAGATCAATATAGTCTATATTATCTTGTCTTATTTTTCGAAAATGTCTGCCTTGTCTGTTTGTATGTTTTAAATTGGACCTAGATAAAAGTTTAATTGAGAATTGTAAAATTATTTGACAGACAGCTATTACATACACATGTGCAAATACACAGTTCATACATACCAACAATGGTAAGATTGCAGACAAGCACACATTAACCCTTGGCGGGCAGCACTGATGTAATTTCTGGATCCTTTCTCACCATATTATTTGTTTATTGACACTTTTAATCTGTCAATATTTAGGCCATTATTTCTGTTGAATACACAAATTTTACGGGTAATTTGAAATAGGTTTGCTGGTAATATTTTGTTTAATGCTTTAAATAAAATTATAGATATTCAACGATTACCTTGAATCTTGCATCCCTGTGCGAGCCTATAATACAGCTTTTCATCAGTGATTACATGGAAGTCATCATGAACTAACTTTGACTATTATACAAACAAAAAATCATTTCACACACACTCACGCACCAGACACTTGGTTGGAGAAACGCACAGGCATTTGGTTAAACATAAAATGCAGCCGTGTTGAATCTCTGCATACTGTGTATCTAGTGCTTAAACATGCACTTCTATTTCCCATGCCAGCTTGCATTGTGGTCATTGGGAAGCCCACTAACATTCAAATGTATGGAGTTGCTTAAAATGAGTCCATCTCTGCAAGGAAGGACAGCAATGAATGCCCCCTTTGAATTTGGAGGAAAAGAGAAAAAAGCCTGCGCGCTACGTCATGGAAAGAATGACGTCAGGAAAGATTAGCAAGGCAAGCTTGAGAAAATGGAAGTTCCTTTTTGTGGTTTTTGGTGGAGCTCAGACAAGCAACAGACATGAGGCAGTAGATTTTAATTTTATAGGCCTATTATAACACACTTGCATATATTTTGTATGTTATTTTGATGTTTCTGTATATGGGTCAGCCTCACATTAGACAGAAAGAGAGAGAGAAGCATTGAATAATCCTGATATTATAACGCAACACATGCTGCAGCAAGCAGAGCGTAACAGAGAGGGAGCGCGACCGGGGAGATCAGCCCTGACGTAATCGTTTCCATAGGTGACTGATATACTAGCTCTGCCAATGGAAATCCACACAAGCGCTGCGTGGTCTCCATCCTCCATTTTTCCCTTTTTTTCTCGCATCACACGTCCCTGTTGGCACGCGGTGACAGAAACTGCGCATAGACAAGCAATTTTACTGTCCACTTATTGTAAAGCTGCTGTCTAAAAAACTTGAGTATTTTCCACATTTAAGATCTTTAGACTGCTCCCTCTCTGTTTCAGTGAATGGTCAGTCAGTCTAAACCCTTAATTATTATCTATAGTACTGTACGAGGGTGATAACAATGATATTAACCAAAGATACAGTCTATGGCAACCACTTACAGGAGCAAAGAATAACATTTCTGAAAGTGGTTCATCACTTCATTATCTTATAGTGTCATATTCCAATAAATATGAAAAATTAAGATTAAAAATCTTTATACATATAGAGCCATTTGGGACCTCAGCTGAGAAATATACATAGCACTGGATGCCAACATAAAAAACTGAACAATGAAGAATACTCTGCCTTTTAGGCAAAGCAAGTTAATTTGTGTTGCCCAGAGGGCAACTTGTATAGCATTCAGAGGGTAACTCAAAGTGCTTGACCAAACAAGAAAGGAAACATTAATGTCATAAAATGATTCCAAGCATTTATAACACAGTATATGTCTTCCTACATGTAATTATAGTCTCACAGTTTTATACTTCGTGATTAGGCTTAGAATCCACTTATTGTTTTTATTTCTACTTCTCTGTATCGTGTGCTGCAAAACTGAAGCATCTTAAAGGTTCTCTCATCTTATATTAAACAGGCATTATTATGTGGAGTAATGGGGACATATTATGCAAAGTTGACTTGATCGACAACACAAATATCAGGAACTTCTAGTGCAAACATGTAACTCCTCCCCTTTTATCTAAATGCTTCTGTCTTAAACTGTAATAATATCATGTCATTGTAACCATATTCATCATCAGTTACATGCAGATATAATGTTTCACCATATATTTTCTTCTTAAGATATAATTTTGAATCCTAAAACAAACAAAAAAAACAAAAGAAACAGTCTCATTATTTTTGGTATCAACAAAAATGTATGGTATTTTATTTTTCATATCTTTATCATTTTAAATGCTACTTGCTGTATTAAATCAATTGCCCAACAGTGTGTACATGTGTAAGCGGGCATGTGTGTGTATGCATGTTTATGTGTATGCGTGTGTATGTACGTGAGTAAGCGTGCGCGTGTGTTAGTGTGCGTGTGTGTGTATCTGTGTGTCTATGTGCATGTGTGTCTATACATGTTTGTGTGTGTATCTGTGTGTATGTATGCGTGTGTATGTGTGTGTATGTATGTGTGTGAGTAAGCGTGCGCGTGTGTTAGTGTGTGTGTGTGTATCTGCGTGTCTATGTGCATGTGTGTCTGTACATGTATGTGTGTGTATCTGTGTGTATGTATGCGTGTGTGTGTGTGTGTGTGTGCATCTGTGTGTGTGTGTGTGTGTGTGTGTGTGTGTGTGTGTATCTGTGTATGTATGTGTGTGTGTGTAGTGTGTATGTGTGTGTGTGTGTATGTGTGTGTGTGTGTGTGTGTGTGTGTGTGTGTGTGTGTGTGCATTGTGTGTGTGTGTGTGTGTGTGTGTGTGTGTGTGTGTGTGTGTGTATGTATGCAGTGACAGCAGGCAGTGGGCGGGGGCTGAAGCTCTGAACACGGTGCGAGCCTGTCCTTCGCTCACAGAGAGACCATAGACCGGTGGAGAGGGGAGTTAACACGGGGACTGGGGCTTCTCTGCACTGCACGGGGTAAGTATTCTCTTCCACCACGTTTCCCCCCACCCAAAGCTGTTTTATTCCCTCCTGCCAGCAAAACGCACTGGTCCACAAACACCGGCCATCGCGTGCACTGGAGGAAACATACCCTCATCCTATCATCATGGGCTTGATGGGCTTGATTTCGCTTTTCATTCCCCAGTGTGGCACTAATTTAACCCAAGTGCATTTTTAAAGTCGCGCTTAGGTCATACATTTCACTTGACAAACTTTACGTCCTTAAAAAGTTAATAAAAAAAATATTATGAAGAGAAAAAGGAGATTTTTTTTTGAAATCGCATGCAGCCCTTGTCGCCTGTGCTAGCTGTTCCCGATGCTAACGCTAGGCTAACGCTGTAGAACGGACCCCGACACCGCTCTTTTACACTTTAGCGAAGCGTTACTGATGCGGGAAACATTTTAAACATTTCGCGACTTGCCAGCGTCTTTGAGTTGGCTTTTGTTCATTCTCCCCCCTGCATGTTATCGGTGGAGCGGCTAACACTTGGGGGCTAGCGCTGCTGTACTAGTGTGGACCCGGGGGAGCGCGAACCGACTCTGGGTAATTTATTGATTTATTTATAGGCGAATACAAGTCATTTTGTGTATTTGCGTGTCCCCGAATCGCTTAATACAGTTAGACAGATGGATTAGACACGGACCAGTGTATTAATATGCCGAAACAATCCTTTATAAAAACTGTTATTCTCTAATAATGTGTAGAATAGGTTGCAAATTCAAGGAACCGGTGACTGTTTTCTGTATTTGCATCCGAGCCGCTGGACCAGTCTTCGTACTTCTAAATGCGCATGAACTGTGTGCTGTGTGCCATCTCCCCTGTCACTGTCAATTCAGATTTTCACCAAAGGACCACAACTACATTTTGCAAATCCGAGATGGAACTGTGTCGGACATAGCTGCATCCATTCAATGACGCACGGATGACCTGTGGGGTTCTTCGGATATGCTCTTTACCCAAACCCAAACCTGACAGTTGCTATACAAGAGGAGAACCTAGATCCTAACCGAGCCCTGTGTCATCTACACAGGTTGCTCCTGCTATTACTGCAAGAATACGACTTTTCATCCATCTTTCGCCTGCGGATTAAACACACAGAAAAGGAAAGAATGTAGTAATGGCCATCTTCATCGTCATCATCATCGGTCTCTCGTTTCCAAAAGATTTCCATCTACTACAGTTGATTACGGCTGTTGCTGTGTTAACTTTATCCGCCTGACCTTGTAGAAAAGGTAATGACTAGAGTCTTAGGATGCAGGTTTCTAGGCTTGTGTGTGTGTGTGTGTGTGTGTGTGTGTGTGTGTGTGTGTGTGTGTGTGTGTGTGTGTGTGTGTGTGTGTGTGT